GGGGACCCCCTGAGAGACCCCCACTGCCCCCCCGGGGGGCTCTGAGACCCCTCCCGGCCATGGGGGACCCCCACTGACCCCCCCAAATTGGGGGACCCCCTGATGGACTCCCCCCAACCCCCACTGAGCCCCCCTCCATGGGGCTGTGGGACCCCTCCCCAAATTTGGGGACCCCCTGAGAGACCCTCACTGCCCCCCCCATCCCATTTTGGGGGTCCTCTGATGAGCCCCCCCGGATTTGGGGGGACCCCCAGGCCCCCCCCCAGACACAAAACCAGCCCCAGGAGCAGCAAAAATCGTGAAAATTCAACCCAAAAACGTCGGATTTGGGGCAGCAAACACAGAGAGATGAAAAATGCACAGACTGGACCCAAAACTGCAGGATTTGAGCCCAAATCCCAGGTGAGGGCAGAAGGTTGGGGGAAAAAAACCTCATTTTGGGGGTGGAAAATGTGGGGCTGAAAATCTTCAGTTTTAGGGTGAAAATTCCTGAGTTTTGGTAGAAAATCCCCAATTTTAGGCTGCAAATCTCCAGTTTTAGAGTGAAAATTTAGAGATTTACCTTGATAACCCCGAATTTAGTTTAAATATCTCAATTTTGGGTTAGAACTCCTAATTTTGGGTGAAGATTCCCAATTTTGGGTGGAAATTTGTAATTTCAGACTGAAAAAAAACATTTTTGGGGTGGATGATAGAATTCCCAGGCTGAAAATTCCAATATTGGGTTGAAAACTTTCAGTTTTGGTGCTGAAAATGCCAAATTTGGAATAAAAAGACTGACTTTGGTGCAAAAAATGAGAATTTTGGACCAAAAAATATCCAAGTCCTGATATTAAGGTCAAAATTCTGAGTCTGGTGGCTGGAACCACCAATCTGGGACTGAAAACAGCAATTCCAGGTTAAACTTCCTCATTTTGGGGTTAAAACACCCAATTTTGGGGCTCTGGGCTCCATTTCTTCCTGAAAATCCGAATTTTGAGGCCTAGAAATGTCAAATTTGAGGCTGAAATTCCCCGGTTTGTTGCCAAAAAATTAAATCAGGACTGAAAAATCCCCGTTTTGATGTGAAAACGGTGAATTTCAGGCTGAAAATCCCAAACTTTGGCTGAAAATTATAAATTTCACCCTGAAACCTCAAACTTTCAGCTGAAAGTCCTGAACTTCAATCCAAACATCTCAAATTTTAGGTTGAAAATCCTGAATTTTACTCCAAAACTTAAAAATTTGGGGCTCCCAAATCCATTTTCCCTCAAAAATGCTCTTTTTGGGTCTATTGAGGCCCAAAAATGTTCAATTTAGGGCTCAAAATCCCCGTTTTTCTGCTGAAAAAAGGCCAAAAATCCATAATTTTTACTTTAGAGCTCCAAATTTCATGCTGAAAACTCTGACTTTTGGGCTGAAACTGTCAAATCTTGGGCCGAAAATTCTTTTTTTTTCCCTTGAAACCTCAACTTTTGAGGCGTCCAATATTTTTTTCCTGTTA